CAACCACAGCTTTTAGCCAAGGCTTCTAACCAATAAGAAGGTTTAATACAACCACAGCTTTTAGCCAAGGCTTCTAACCAATAAGAAGGTTTAATACAACCACAGCTTTTAGCCAAGGGTTTTAGCCAATAAGAAGGTTTAATACAACCATAGCTGTTAGCCAAGGCTTACAGCCAATAAGAAGGTTTAATACAACCATAGCTTTTAGCCAAGGCTTCTAGCCAATAAGAAAGTGTAATATAACCATAGCTTTTAGCCAAGGCTTATAGCCAATAAGAAGGTTTAATGCAACCATAGCTTTCAGCCAAGGGTTCTAGCCAATAAGAAGGTTTAATGCAACCACAGCTTTTAGCCGAAGCTTTTAGCCAAGGCTTATAGCTAATAAGAAGGCTTCTTACAGGTTAACAAGGGATGTGTCTTTTTGTCACAGTTTCTCTGTCAGTAGTTATTTTTATGAGAACCAATATTGTTCTCTCTTGTGCTTTCAGTGGAATATTTTATTTTTTAAGTTACGTTATGAATAACTGAAATATTTATACATGGCTAGATATCAACAAATAAAATGTATTTTATTTTCAGAAGTATAGTCGTGTTTAATTAATTGATTAATTAAGTATTCATAAAACATTATCAGTACTCACATTACACATGATGTTGACTGGTAACAATGATGTTGACTGGTAACACACATTCTCTTTGTTTATTGGTTGAATTTATTCTTATGTTAAAGAATCAGTTGATGAATATTCATGCTGATCTTTGCTTTTATTATTTGTAGCTAAATATCTACATGTTGAAAAAATATTACGGAATTCTACAATACATATCTGTTTTTATATTACGGAATTCTACAATACATATCTGTTTTTATATTACGGAATTCTACAGTACATATCTGTTTTTATATTACGGAATTCTACAATACATATCTGTTTTTATATTACGGAATTCTACAATACATATCTGTTTTTATATTACGGAATTCTACAATACATATCTGTTTTTATATTTAGGAATTCTACAATACATATCTGTTTTTATATTATGGAATTCTACAATACATATCTGTTTTTATATTATGGAATTCTACAATACATATCTGTTTTTATATTACGGAATTCTACAGTACATATCTGTTTTTATATTACGGAATTCTACAATACATACCTGTTTTTATATTACGGAATTCTACAATACATATCTGTTTTTATATTACGGAATTCTACAATACATATCTGTTTTTATATTACGGAATTCTACAGTACATATCTGTTTTTATATTACGGAATTCTACAATACATATCTGTTTCTTAATTAAATTTTTCAGACAGTTTGTAATATTTATCAAACTTTTTATCATGACGTTTTAATAATAAACCGAAATTCCATCATAACTCCACATGTCAATGAAACGACTTAAGAGCTAATAAGCAGAACTGCAGTCATTGGTTCCGCTCATGCAAATCGTTTTTAAATAAATTTTATCAAGCTGTGTCGACAACCATTTGTATGTGACTTTTTATTAGCATTAATGTAATTTTAAACTAGTATCTTATACGTGTATTTAATTATTAAACCTTGTAGCTTGGTAAAATAAAAAGGTGGTCTTTTATTTTTATTATTTTATGGTATTTAAGCTAGATGAGAACATGTTTGTTTGTAGTTAAGCACAAAGTTAAACAAAGGGCTATCTGTGCTCCACCCACAACGGGTATTGAAACCCGGATTCTAGCGTTGTAAGTCTACGTACATACCGCTGGGCCACTGGGGGGGGGGGGGCGCTAGATGAAATAACACGAGATAATTCGAGACAAAATCCAGTATATTTGTATAGAACAACGGTTTTGAATCATTTCTTAGATACGTCATTTTTATTGGCTGTAGTTCCTCCTCAAGTCACTCTTCACATGGGGAATGTTCCCATGTCAGGTGAGATACATGAAGGAAATGATGTTTACTTGGAATGCAACATCCGGTCCAATCCCTGGATTCAATCTGTGAACTGGCAGTTCGAGGGACGAGATGTAAAAACAAATTTTACCTCCCGAATAATGATTAGCAACCACACCTTAGTGATCCAGCGAGTCCAGTTGTATCACCGAGGTCATTTTACCTGCTCAGCAAGCAACAGCGAGGGACTGGGGATCAGTAACAAGATTTTTATTAATGTCAAATGTGTGTTGGTACATCATATTTTATTCTATTTAACACTTACACAAATCTCTTATTGATATTATATCATTAATATTTATCTGATCAGTTCAGCTACTTACTTGATCTAAAATTAGAAATTAATCTGGGTAATAATTATAGCTAATCAAATATACTTTTTTTACGTTCTTGTAAAGATTAGAAAGCATTGTTTCATAAGTTGGGTATCTTTACTGTTAACGACATTTTCGGCCGTAAACCCAATAGTATCTCAGGAGGTTCGGTCATCTCAGACAATTTAGATTTCTCTTCAACTCACGTACTAAAATAGCATTACAAGATAATATCTATAATAAAAACATAATAATAATAAAAAGTTGAGAATAATATGCTAGGCGTATTGAACATTCTAACTAATACTGTTAATGAAAGTAACATTAAAGACATCAGAGTTTACATAAAATAGTAGAGCTGTTACTCATAAAAATATGTGCATGATTTCTACTTCCCAAAGCCTAATTCCTCTAAAACATTGTAGTACATACTAGAGGGATATACACGTTTTGATAATAAAGTTAGAAAAAACTAGCTTTGTACTCTAGATGATGATAATAGAGCTTTTATTTTAATGTGAAACGTCAGTTAAAATAACAGTTATCTTATAATCATCCGGGTGATAAAGGTCATTTTGTTCTAACCTTGATTTATAGTTTTTGTAATAAATATCAGTAATTTTTGAGCTCTGAAATCTGAACAGGTTCTGGAACCTTAAGATCCTTGATTTTTTAATTAATTTTTGTAATGGTTCCGATTGACTGGATAACTTCACAGACGCTCCCCAGTGTCAACCGGGACAGAAGTCCACTTATGGGGTCGCCAAGCAAGAGACAGTCTACGTGTCCTGCAGTTTGGTAGCAGATCCACCAGATGTCACTTTCAGCTGGCTGTTCAACAGTTCCACTAAACACTCAAGTCAAATCGACTACAGCAACAACAAGACACACAGCTGGGCCACCTTCACGCCCGAAACTGATGATGACTATGGCACCATACTTTGCTGGGGCACCAATGATATTGGCATCCAACGAAAGCCGTGTCTCTTCACCGTCGTCCCTGCTGGTATCCTTTACATACCTTTTTATAAAACAACTCTTAACTGTATGTTGAATATTATTTTGTTGTACTCCTAATAAAGCCGAACACAAGTAATGAAAATTAATGATTATAAATTATACATTACAATAGTATATGTGATACATATTAAATTGACATAAGTAGTCAGCTCAAGCCCTAAATCTCAGCCTTACTTCGTCCGTCTGGTATGATTATTTTCATTCCGAGTCGAACACGTCCTTCGTTGTTTTCGATTTGAGTTTGAA